GTAGCATGGCCGAAATGTGGAAAAGCTTTGTCAGCACGCCACAACAACCAGCACCACCATCTGATATGGAACGTCTTAGCAGGAGGCAGCATTTCAGCAACATGGTGGAACAGTACGTGTGCACATGATTACACGTACTGATTGATGGGTCTGCCCCATTCAACTTCTGAGTCTCCAAATTGGGCACATGGCCTGAGCTTGCCCTTTATGCCTTGGAGGTGCTGGCCTGCCCTGCAGCCAGTGTATTGTCTGAATGTGTGTTTAGCACGGCAGGGGGCATTATTACAGACAAGTGCAGCCACCTGTCCACAGCCAACATGGACAAGCTAACGTTTATTAAAATGAACCAGGCATGGATCCCACCAGACTTGTCTGTACCTTGTGCAGAATAGACATTTATACTGGCCTCACCTAGCTATTGTTATACTAAGGAGCACTTATTCTTTGTTTTCTTTTTTTATATGTCCCAATATTTTGGGGGCTACCACAATAAAAAAAAAAAAAAAACCCATAAAAAACAGTGTTGGCTACCTCCTCCACCGCTGCTTCCACCTACACCGCCACGGTCACCGCCTCCTCAACCTATGGGTCACTTAGTATAACCTATGTACACATTAGCAGAGGCTTGTGAAGGCCTTTTCTCCATGCATCAGGAGTTGAGCTCAGTTTGAACAATGAAAGAGAATACCCTGCACTCCAACCCTCTCTCAAATGGATAATTGTGGTGATCCTCCTGACAGCTATGCTTTAGATTTTGATTTATGTTCCCAAAGCTAAAATCAAAGATTCCATTTGGTACTTTTTTATGGCTCAGCTGTATTTTTAATTTTTATGTTCTTTTAAGTGATTTCCCTATCCACATTTGTTTGCAGGGCACTTGTTCTACTCTTAACCCAATTTTACTTCCTTTTGCAGCTCTCTAGCCCTTTCCAGGAGTTTTTCAGAGGCATTTTTGTGGCCAAAAGTATGGGTCCCCATTGACTTAAATGGGGTTCGGGGTCAAGTTCGACCGAACCCGCCGGACCCGAACATCCAGGTGTCCGCTCAACTCTACTTATGACCCCTAAATGCATTGTTTTGTTTTAAAGAAGTCCTTTACAATTTACTAAGGATTATCCCCATTGGTGTACAGGACACCATGTGTGTATCTTAAAAAAAGATTTTATATTTAAACAATATTTTCAGACAATCTCTAAAATAAATACACGATAAAAAGAAACATATTATCACTCTGAAAAACTCCTTTGACCTGTATTAATAGGGAGAATGTGTTACAAATTTTCTAAAAGTAAAAAAAGAAATCTATATTATTAAACATATTGGTAAACGTTATACAGGTGGTGAGTGATATACAGTGATTTTCTCACCACCACTATATGTAATTTAGTACCCTTTCTTAATTCTTGTTATATAGTCTATTGATTTTAAGAAATAAATACTTTTTTAACTGAAGAACAATCATCCAAATTATTCTTCATTCTGGGACATTGATTTTAGCCACTAGTTGGCACCCTTATACCAGTTATATAGAGCCTGAGATGGCTCTGGGCCATGTGAGTGAAAGTCCGCCTTTATAACTGCTCTGTGTTACAGTTCACACTAGGTTGTTGTGTTCTTTTTATATTTTAGGCTACCTGTGGTAACCTGTGTTCCAAATCCAAAGACATATATCTGTATAACCATTTGTACATTGGTATTTATACATAGTGTGCCACAAAGATTTATTCTTGGCTAGTATATACACTATCTCCAAGTGCATTAAGTCCGCGTGGGTGCAAACTACCACCGGACCACCAGGTGTGTTCACAGACAGGCCTGTCAGGAACAGCCATCGATACCTGATATCTTTGGACCGTAGGGTGTGGATTAGAGGACATAGTATCCTCCTGTAATGCAGCGTGGCCGGGGACAGATCCAGATACAATTGTAGCTCCGCTTGCCTGTACCGTAGAGTATTGGCCTTCCTCGCGGCCCGCAGAAGAGATTCCTTCTCATGAAACGCTTACATGTAACACACCACAACCCGAGGCGGTGCATCTGGGGGTCTCCTCGGACGCAGGGTACGATCTCTGGCCATAGGCGAGGTTGTGTCCATTCGAATCAAGTTGTTGAAGCTCTCCTGTAGGATGGATTGTAGGTGTGCCGGGTATGTTTTAACCTCGGGGAGGTATCACAAGTTGTTTTGCCTTCCCCAATTGTCCAAGTCTTCCACGTGTAGTGCCAGACCTCAGAGGTAATCCGCATGCTGTGCCAAGTTGTCGCCAACTTGAACGTGGAATGACCCGAGTTGGTCGCAGGTTGCCTCAACACCTCCCACATGGTCATTGAGGCCCTGAATATCATCCTGCAGCGCCTGGATGTCAGCCCGGATCGAGGCCTGTAAGGAGCGTCAGATCAGCACGGGTGGGTAGGGCTTGTACTAACCGTCCCCAGTTCGTGCCATGCGAGGTCAGGGAGCGTTCCTCAGGCAAGAAAGTCTGGGAATTAGCTCTGGTGCCATCAAAGGCCTCTTCCAACAGAGGCTGGGAGGCCAATTCCAATGAGTTGGAAAGGTATTGACGCAAAGAGGGGGTAAAAAAAACATTTTTGGGATCCGTGGCCCTTTGGGAGCCCGAAGCTCGGTGAGTCTTTCCAATTATCAGGATAGTGGAATATTAGCAGATTTACACAAGATGGTGGAGGAGAAAAAGATAAAGTGGCCATCTTTTTTCGCTGTCAGGCTCTTTATGCAATTCTTACTTTCACCACACATATCTGAGGGGTAAGTCCCAGTTTTTATATTTAGAATATTTTACCTTTTAGCACTGCACTTGTTGCACTTTGTGTTTTAGGGGATTGTCACCTAAATACTGAGTGCTGTGTTACACTATATTTCTATATCGGTGGGTGATTTGGAGCACCCGTAAAGTGTATTTAGCGGCATAACTTATTTTATCGATAAATCACTATACAAGTGCCTAGAATCACACATTTGTTTCGTATACATTTAGGTTGTTGCTTATGCATTCTTTACCCCAAAGTGCATAACTTTGCATTTCTCTACTTTAAATTTCATCTGCCATTTTAGTGCCCAGTCGCCCAATCTATCTAAATTCCCCTGCAGCAAAGCAATATCCTGCTCACATTTTATTACTTTACAAAGTTTTGTGTCATCTGCAAACACTAAAATATGGCTTTCAAAGGTGAACAGGTGATACTCGAAAAATTAGAATATCATGCAAAAGTTCATTTATTTCAGAAATTTGGGGAGCCATGTCATCTGCTGGTGCTGGTCCACTGTGCTTCATTAAGTCCAGGGTCAACGCAGCAGTCTACCAGGAGATTTTGGAGCACTTCATGCTTCCTTCCGCAGACGAGCTTTATGGGGATGCTGACCATTTTCTAGCAGGACTTGGCACCTGCCCACACTGCCAAAAGCACCAAAGCCTGGTTCAATGACCGTGTGATTACTGTGCTTGTTTGGCCAGTAAACTCGCCTGACCGGAATAGATTCTCTATGGGGCATTGCCAAGAGAAATATGAGAGACATGGGACCGAACAATGCAGAAGAGCTGAAGGCCGCTATTGAAGCATCCTGGTCTTTCATAACACCTCAGCAGTGCCACAGGCTGATAGCTTCCATACCACGCCGCATTGAGGCAGTAATTGCTGCAAAAGGGGCCCAAACCAAGTACTGAGTACGTATGCATGCTTATACTTTTTAGAGGTCCGATATTGTTCTATGTACACTCCTTGTTTTATTGATTGCATGTAACAGTCTAATTTACGGAGATTGTGGATTTGGGGTTTTCATGAGCTGTAAGTAATAATCATCACACTTATGATAAATCATGGCTTGAACTATCTTGCTTTGCATGTAATGCGTCTATCTCATATATTAGTTTCCCCTTTTATGTTGCATTACTGAAATAAATGAACTTTTGCACAGTATTCTAATTTTTCGTGTATCACCTGTAGAAGCGGTCCCAAAACAGAACCCTGATCGACACCACTTACCACTTTTGTCCTGCTTCACAATTTACCATTAATGACAACTCGTTGTACTCTATCCTTAAGCCTATGTTCTACCCAAGAACAAGAATATTCATATAGACCAATTTCTTTCAGTTTGCTCATTAACCTATTGTGAGGAACCATATCAATTTTAATTTCTCTCATTTATTGTACCAACACATATTATATACCGTTTTTTTCTAAATGCCATAAAGGACTTTCATTTGTTGTCACATATATAAATTCTCATTAAATATATATAATAAAAAAAAAAAAAACAATGGGGGGGGACATTTTTTTTCTTTCACAGTTTTAACATAATATGTCAAGCTTAGAAAAAGTTATTCAAAATAAATGTCTTGATTTATTGAGTACATAATATGTGAAGGATTTCAGATTATTTTGAAAGTTACAGGTCACAAAATACAAGTACTAAAATATAATTCCAATGTGTAACAATTTTAGAAGTTGGTATGTTTGTCTTGTAAGTTTAGTAACAATCACAAAAAAAAAATTGCTACACAAAAGTATATATTTATATAAAATAGACATCACAGTCTATTTACCTAAGGTTTTTTTTGACACTTTTTACATAGCCATTTTATCGCCAATCTCTGCTAAATATTGGAGTAAAGATGTATACATATAACAATATTTAATGTTACATAGTTACAAAGGCTGAAAAGAGACATGTCCATCAAGTTCAGCCTTCCTCACATTTGTTTTTTGCTGTTGATCCAAAAGAAGGCAAAAAAAAAAAACAGTTTGAAGCACTTCTAATTTTGCAACAAACTAGGAAGAAAATTCCTTACTTGACCCCAGAATGGCAGTCAGATTTATCCTTGGATCAAGAAGCTATTACCCTACAGGTGAAAAATTATATAATTAAATATTATTTTTGTTTAGCAAGTATGCATCTAGTTGCTGTTTAACCTCTTCCTGACCATGGACGTATCAGGTATGTCCAACAAAAAACGGTACTTAAGGACCGCGGACATACCTCATACGTCCTGGGGTAATTACAACTCTGGAAGCGATCATGGTCACTTCCAGCAGCTTTTATGGTATTACAGCGATGCCTCAATGTTGCTGTAATACTCTCCTCACTGCCGGGGGCCACCGGAGATTACCGGGTGATCGCTCCCCCCGGAGCAATCCCTTCCAGGTTGCTCCACGTGTTAGACAGAGCATTGGAAGCCTTCAGCAGGCTTCTGATGCTCTGTCTCTACTGACTGCCTCGAGGGGTCAAGGCACTCTATATATAGTAAATTTAAAAAAACCAAAAAACTGAATTTTAAAAAATTAACCCCTACCCACCCTCTCTCTCCCTCTCCCATGTACTTACCGATCGCCGTGTTCCCCCGCCGGCGATCGGTCTTCTTCTTTGGGGGAAGTCTCTGTACTGAGCCCAGAGCGTCCCCCCTCTGCAAAAAAGGACCCCCAGGTGCCATGTGACTGCTCTAGAAGAGCAGTCACATGCATGGCCCTCATAGGTGTCCATAGTGCTGCCAGCAGGGGGACTGCCTGAACTGACTTGCAGTCCCCCTGCTGGTTGAAAAGTAAAAATAAAGTTAATAGAAGTTATAAAAATAAAATAATGTTTTGTGTGTCATAAGAATTGATTGTACCAGGTAACTGAGTTTCGGTTGGTGCTGGTTGTACAGTAGCGTGAGGCCCAGCCTTGTGAGGGCTGTGGTGACCGACTCGAGATTGCCAGTCTGTCGGAAATTTTTTGGCTCATGAGTTTATGAGTGAGGCTAGCATGGCATGGGTGTCACCTGAGTTGGTGTTGCTGGGCCTTCCCCTGCCTCCGTGTTGTCCGTTGATGTATGGAGGAGTTTGAATAACTCTGCTTTCCTTGCCGTGGCAGGGTAGGGGATTTGTCGCCTCCTTAGGTCGGTGGTAATGTGTGGGATCGTCCAGGATCTGATTGCTGCTGGACTAGCAACATCTCCTCTGCTTGAAGGTGTATCAATTCTAGCCGGGGTGCTAGGAAGAGGTGATTCTTCACCATCTTTTTGAGAAATTCTTAAATAACAATAAAGATTGCAATTATTATTTGTACCCAGGGGTCTTGTACTGGTTTGCTAGCTAAGCTGTAAGGCGAAACGATTAGGCTTGGTGTTTTTTGGTGACTGGTGAGGTCCTGCTAGTTGCAAAGTGGCTTGAGAGGCTCTATCTATGCGTTGGCACGAGGGGATTTTTTGTGGCCACAGAACGTTGTGGCAAGATGTTGGCCTCTCAGTGACAGTAACCAGAAAATAGGAAGGGGAGTGACAGGTGAGGCCCTTTCTATGATACAATGCGAAGCAGCTAGCTCACGAGTGGCCCGAGTGGTGTATGCCTCCGAGTGTGAGGTGGGGTGTTGGCCTCGCGAGACCACTAACCGAAGTGTAATGCAGAGAAAAAAGGGGGTAATACCTATTGGGCCCTAGAACCCTAATTGCCAGTACGCTATTACTATTCCAGGGATGGTAAGAGATGGATAACTACGTGAGCAGGTGTATGTACCTGGTAGTATGGTATTGAACCTGACAATCCGTATAGGTTTTTTAGTAGTAACTGTAACCTGAATGGATAAAACCGTATGGCATAAGGAAATATGGCATAGACCAAGCTTATCTTAATACGTACAGTATATGTGAAAAGTAAAGTGCCATGATGTGTAAATATTAAACATCGTAGCCATACTGGTTAAATATGTATCAATCTTAACCCATTAAGTGCCGTATGTACAAGTGAAAAAGTGGTCTGTCCCCACCTTGTATGTTGTATGTCCCCTTGCTAGGGGAAAGTCTGTTGTGTGAGCAGCGTGCTGTGAAAAATGTATGTGAACTATATTACCAGTTACGTATATACAGATGCATCTGCTACTGTGTAATAATATGTGTATTTATACCAGATGTTGATATACTACTTGCTATGTGAATTGTTGTATGTCTTATTGTTGGTATGTCTTATTGAACTGGAGATCTGCCGAGTGCCCTATAGGAGGCAGTGTAGTTGGATACTGATTGGTATGTGAAATGTTGTTTGTCTATTGACCTATAGGGGTCAGTGTTTTGGTGTTTGTAAAACCCCATGAAAATTGTCAATGTACTTGACAGACCTGTAGGTGGCAGTGTTGGTAGAACCACTGTTGGTCTTGATGTGAAATGTAAATGTAAATTATTGTGACTTAAACCTGAAGTTGAGCCCTTGCGGGAGTTTAATTTATGGTTTATGATTATGTTTAAAACAATCTTATGTGTAATTTATATTGGCTGGTAAATTGTATATGACATGTGAAAACAGTTTTTCTGTTGAGGGGTCAGAAATGCTGATTGTATGGTAAAAATACCATTTAATCCAAATGCAAGTTTAACGTGAGATTTTGAGAGTGACCTGTAGGGGTCAGTGTGGTTTATGTGAAACATTGTTTCGTGAGCTATGCCCCAGCATTATAGTTGTATGACAGGGAAATGAACAGTGCCCGTTCGACAATATATAATATGTGAACATAATAGCTTAATAACAGTCATTGTAACAAACCAGTGTTCTGTTCGTGGGTTGTAAACGCACAAAACATGTGTGTAGTACAATAGTAAATGCATGACTAGTTCCTGTTTGGTAGAAAATTGCACGAACCGTCAGCCTGGTATGTCAGGAAAACAAAACGAAACGAGCAGTGAGATTCGAAATGCACGCACAGAATTGCCTAGTATGTTTAGGCAATTGAAACAGAATGTGTTCCCGTTTGGGAACGCTTGAAATGAGCCAGTGACAGATATAAACAAGTGAGTGTAAACATATTTTGAACATGCAATGGTTTTAGAACAGACAGACAAAATGCAGCCGTAAAGTGAGGACCTGACCCGTGCATGGTGCCGTGGGACTGATGCCTGGCGTAACGGGTAGGTCGACTTACGGTTTGTGTGTCACTTGGACACCATCCACGGCTATGGATTGAAGAAAGAAGGTGGTAGGCCAAAAAAGCCTGTTGCTGTATTCCTGACAAAAGTCACTGGCAAATGCTAACATCCCTGTTAGCGAATCTACAATACGTAAAACACTAAACAAGAATGGATTTCATGGGAGGATACCACAGAGGAAGCCACTGCTGTCCAAACAATACATTGCTGCACGTTTACAGTTTGCACAAGAGCACCTGGATGTTCCACAGCAGTACTGGCAAAATATTCTGTGGACAGATGAAACCAAAGTTGAGTTGTTTGGAAGAAACACACAACACTATGTGTGGCGAAAAAAAGGCACAGCACACCAACATCAAAACCTCATCCCAACTGTGAAGTATGGTGGCGGAGGCATCATGGTTTGGGGCTGCTTTGCTGGTCAGGGCCTGGACGGATTGCTATCATTGAAGGAAAAATTAATTCACAAGTTTATCAAGACATTTTGCAGGAGAACTTAAGGCCATCTGTCTACCAGCTGAAGCTCAACAGAAGATGGGTGTTGCAACAGGACAATGACCCAAAGCATAGAAGTAAATCAACAACAGAATGGCTTAAACAGAAGAAAATACGCCTTCTGAAGTGGCCCAGTCAGAGTCCTGACCTCAACCCGATTGAGATGCTGTGGCATGACCTCAAGAAAGCGATTCACACCAGACATCCCAAGAATATTGCTGAACTGAAACAGTTCTGTAAAGAGGAATGGTTAAGAATTACTCCTGACCGTTGTGCACGTCTGATCTGCAACTACAGGAAACGTTTGGTTGAAGTTATTGCTGCCAAAGGAGGTACAACCAGTTATTAAATCCAAGGGTTCACATACTTTTTCCACCTGCACTGTGAATGTTTACATGGTGTGTTCAATAAAAACATGGCAACATTTCATTCTTTGTGTGTTATTAGTTTAAGCGGACTGTGATTGTCTATTGTTGTGACTTAGATGGTGATCAGATCACATTTTATGACCAATTTGTGCAGAAATCCATATCATTCCAAAGGGTTCACATACTTTTTGTTGCAACTGTATATATTGGAAAAAAAACATTAATAAAAAAACCTAACTTTGGCCAAAAACCTAACTTTGTAGTGGCTACTACAAAAGACTGGAAATACACCATTTGGAATACCCTGAGTTGTCTACATTTGAAAATGGTATGCCATGATGGGGTTATTTCAAATTCATGGGCTACCATATGGTCTCAAAACGCAACACAGACCCAGCAAACCAATCTGGCAAACTGAATTGGGTAAGCCCTGTATTGACCCTGTACCTTTTCAAACCACCATAAAACACGTACATGGGGGGTATTGTTATACTCTGGAGACTTCGCTAAACACAAATATGAGTGTTTACAACAGAAAAACCTATCACGACAATGAATTCACCAGTTAAAGTGCGTTTTTTGTGTAAAAATAATGCAAAAAACTAATATGAATGCTAACTTTGGCAAGCGTTTGTGGCTATGTGGCTACTATAAAATACTGGACATATCCCATTTTGAATACCGTGGGTTATCTACTTTTACAAATGTTATGCCATGATGAGGTTAATTTTCATTCCTGGGCTAATATATGGTGTCAAATGCAACATAGGCCTAGCAAACCAATCTGGCAAATTTCAATGTGCAAACATGGAAAAGTGGAAAGCACTACATGTGATCCCTGTAAGTTTGCAAAAACCCATAAAACCTGTACATTGGGGGCACTGTTGTACTCGGGAGATGTTGCCTAACACATATTGGGGTGTTCTTTGGCAGTAACGCTTAAAGTTCTCAGTACATGTATTCTTAACTTGCTATGTGTGTCAAAAAAAATCAACAATTATTATTTTTTTTTTTTTAATTTGGCATAGATTGGTGGTAAAATGGTTGCATGAAAAGAGTCAAAATACCCCAGGTTTAATACCTTAGGTTGTCTTCTTTTAAAAAATATACACATGTGAAGGGTTAGAAGGTAGTGTCAGGAAGCAGCGCCTGTAGTAGTCTTCTCAAGCTCAGTGAACTATATGGGAGAGAGAAGACACTGATATAATGTAGTATGTTAAATTGCTTGATAGTGATAAATGAAGAAAAAAATTGCACTTTCAATTTTCTGGAGCTTATATTCAGCTTCAGATATATGCGCCTAGTATAATCCCCGTCTAAGCATATGATAATGGTCCTGGTGTACTCTCAGAGGCTTCTTTGGGGTCAGGGTGTTCTGGTGTCAGTGACAAAAACTGGTATCCTCAGTGGATAGGAGGAGAAATAAAAACAGAATATAGTGCTCTCTGTATAGTCTGGAATAACACTAGGATAAAAAAGTGGAGGTATACTCACAATTGGGGAGCAAAAGGAATATTGCTCAGTATAGGAAGCGTAGGTGGAATAATTCCCACAAAGGATATCACTTGCGAGTCCTCGGGTTCTTAATGATGAAATTGTGATCTAAGCGCTGTTCGGATATATTGAGCGCTCAGATCCAAGCTATCTGGGGATAGGTTAAACGTGGGGGTTCTGTTCAGTATGATAAGAATTATGTATGTTGTGTATTTTTGCTGTTGTTGTGAATAAAGATATTCACAACAATAATTAATTGGCTTACCACACCCAAGCCATGCTTGCAGTCTGTCAAAAAGGACTTCCACCTAACTTTTAACCCCTTAAGGACCAAACTTCTGGAATAAAAGGGAATCATGACATGTCACACATGTCATGTGTCCTTAAGGGGTTAAACCACTGGAGGGAATCGTCTGATTTTTGAGTATGTTTGTATTTGGAGTATGCTGATTCTGAAAATGTAAGTATGTAAACGTGATATATACTTTTAAAGTTATGAATTTTGTGTAAAACTGTGTATTTTCCTTAGCCCATTGTATACAGTAATTATATCACAGGCAGAGGGGAGGATTTTGCTGTAATGGGAGTGTTTAACTGTATTGTAAGTGTTTGATTGGCTGTTCGCAAAACCCCTGTGGGTGGTACTATGTGCGTAAAACCTCCATAAAAGAAAGCTCTTTGTGTGCATTAAACAAGACTACTTGACCTTTCTTGAAGCCTGGGCTCATGTTTGGGGGATCGGATAACTACACTCTGGGGATTGCTATATTCACACTATACTCCCCAGGGTACGCTCTTGTAAGAGCTGTTCTTGTTCCTGCTACGCTCTCTGGGAGAAGAGAGGCCTGCCCACTGGAAGCTGGATCCTGGCCTTGGATCCAGGGGGGGTGAAAGACAGCAAGACCCCAGCATGGCTGCATCGCTGTAAGTGGGGTCTGCAGTGCTGATTGTGTCGGTTGGAGTGCTTGGAGTTCTCGGCAAGCGCTAGGAGCATCGATTGGCGGAGGTACTCGGTCGGAGTGCCAGCGTTCCGTCACACCAGTGATTTATAAAGAGGCAAAATAATATTATCATCCTGAGAACTAATGCCCTTTTTGATGCATGACAATACTGACCTTAGCCACTGCTTATTGCACATTGTGGCATAGTTTGTTGTCTATAACAATTCCCAAGACCTTCTCGTGTGTTGTTATCCTTAATTCGCTTCCATTAAGGGTATAAGTTGCTTGTGCATTCCTTTTGCCAAAGTGCATAACTTTGTATTTATCTACATAAAATTTTGTCTGCCATTTGAGTGCCCGGTCCCCCAATCTAAATCCTTCTGCAGCAAAGTAATACCTTGCTCACGTTGCATTACTTTACAGAGTTTTGAGTCATCTGCAAACACTGAAACATGACTTTCAATGCTTTTTTTCAAGATCATTTATAAACATGTTAAATAGAAGGGGTCTCAGAACAGAACCCTGAGGGACACCACTTGCCACCTCTGTCCAACTTGAAAATGTATCATTAATGACAACTCTCTGTACTCTATTTTTAAGCCAATGTTCTACACAAGAACAAGAATTTTCATCTAGACCGATTTCTTTAAATTTGAACACTAATCTATTGTGTGGAACTGTAGTAAACACCTTGGTAAAATCCAAATAGATCACATCTACTGCAACACCCTGATCCTGATCTATACTTCTACTTACTTCTTTGTAGAACACAATTAGGTTAGTTTGACATGACCTATGTTTAAAAAAACCATGTTGATTATTGCTAATAACAAAGTTCTTCCCAATGAATTCCTGAATATTATCCCTTAATAATCCTTCAAATACTTTCCCTGTCATAAAATTATAATTTCCAGGCAAGGATTTTGAACCCTTTTAAAATATAGAAGCGACATCTGCCTTCCTCCAATCCTTTGGTAGAATTCCTGAAACAAACTAATCTTGCAAGATTAAATACAGAGGTTCACTTATTTCCACACGTGGCTCCTTAAGTACTCGGGGTGAATACCATCAGGCCCCAGAGTTTTATTTACATTAATTTTCTTTAACTGCTGTAGCACCTTTTCTTGAGTCACCCAATCACAAGTTATCTGCATGTTTTTTGCAGCAATCATTTGCATACCTCTTGCCATAGGATCCTCATTAATATATACTGAAGAAAAATAGTTATTTAAAATTTCTGCCCTTTCCTGGTCTTTATTAACCAACAGACCTATCGCTGTTTCCAGTGTACCTACACTTTCATTTTTTGTTTTTTTAAATTTGATGTACTTGAAAAAAATTTGGAGTTGGTTTTGCTTTCTTTGGCAATTAATTTCTAATTTTCTAGTTTAGCCACTTTAATTGCCTTTTTTCAAGCATTATTGGCTTACTTATTTATCCAATTTTAATGCTTTGAATGCCCTTTCTTATTTTTAATCTCTTGTTTTGTTTTACTTCCCTACTAAGCCACATTGCTTTCAATGTGTTTTTTTAATATATTTTACACAATGGAACATACTGAGAAATTTACCTTTCCAAAATTTGTTTAAAGAGATTCCATTTATCCTCAATGTTTTTTTCACTAAGGAGTTTATGCCAGTCAATATGTTGTACAGCTTCCCTAATCTTATTGAAATTTGCTTTTTTTAAAATTATATGTTTTAGTACACCCCACATGCTTTTGCGAGTTTGAAAAAAATACCATATTGTGATCACTATTTCGCAAATGCTTCTCTACTTGAATGTTGGTCAACAGATCAACATTGTTTGTTATAACCAGATCCAGACAAGCATCCTTGCTAGGTGGTACTTGTACCAGTTGTGACATGGTGTCGTTTAACACATAACATGTTCTAAGTGGAACCTGTCCTGTGAAACCACTGTATGTATGGTCTTGCCCATCATGCTGCGGCTCGGTTTCAGGGTCTTGGCAATCTCCTTATAGCCTAGGCCATCTTTATGTAGAGCAACAATTCTTTTTTTCAGATACTCAGAGAGTTCTTTGAGGTGCCATGTTGAACTTCCAGTGACCAGTATGAGAGTGTGTGAGAGCGATAACACCAAATGTAACACACCTTAGTCCTTGTAACACTAATGACTCACATGGCACCAGGGAGGGAAAATGGCTAACTGGCTTTTGTTGCCTACGGTTTAGACATTAAAGGCTGTGTGTTGAGTTATTTTGAGGGGACAGCAAATTTAAACTGTTATACAGGTTGTACACTTACTACTTTACATTGTAGCAGAGTGTCATTTCCTTAGTGTTGTCACATGACAAGATATAACAAAATATTTACAAAAATTATGAGGGGTGTACTCACTTTTGTCAGATACTGTATATGCTTTTTTTTTATTCTTTGGCTGTCAAAAGGTTGCTGGTGGACCATGGGTTGCTGCTTGGGTGGGCCTTGCGAGGGGCTTGACGGGCCAGGTGGCTGCCCTTCCTTGGGTCCTGTGAGGAGGTGGATTTATGTTGTAGTTATTTCATGCTATGTTCATTGATAAAACATTTCTCCATGAATCTTGCTCTAACCCTTCTACTTCTTGATATGCTGTTTTGGATTGGGGCCATGTGGCACACTTCGGTGCTACCTGCCCTCACCTGATGCTTTCTCCTGTTCTCGGTAGTATACGTACTGCTCCCCTCTCTTCCACCACACTCAGTGGGTCATGTATAGTCTTTTCGCAGGAGGTTCCATGGTGATCTATCACAGACTTTTTCTTTCCCTCCCTTTCTTTTACTTGCTTTGCTCTCAAGACTTCACCACTACGTCTATTCTGGCTTTCCGTATGATACGCAGACACTTTGACCTGACGTAAGACCAGTCGATTTCCCTCGTCTGTTATGCATTGTCTTCTTGAAGGAGATTTCCTCCCTTTTTCTTTCCTCTTTGTCTCTCCTTTCAATCCTTCCATTGGCTGGAGATTATTTTCATTGCAACCTTCCTGGTAATGTTTATGGTACTTACGTTCAAATGTGAAGCATCAACCCTAAGGGTCTCAATACACTCATTAAAAGACACAACATACTTAAAGGGCTCACAGACAACAGGCAGATATTCTACTAATCCAGGAAACCTACTTCACAACACATAGACACTTCCCTATGTGAAGCCAACATTATAGCCATATCTATTTAGCAAATTCCCCAGACACTAGGACTGGAGTGGCAATAGTCCTTTGCTCCTCATGTCCATTAACTGATACCACTTCTTTTGCAGACCCACAAGGGAGATTTTCATCAGTTACTTGAAAAATAGGCTCCCATGTGTTAACCTTTTGTTCTGTATAAGGTCCAAGCATCCCTGATCCCTCCTTTTAGACTTCTTTCTCAGCTTACGTATCTACCATATCTCCTGCTCAATTGATCTTAGGAGGTGTTGGCAATACTGTAAATTTGGTGACTGGGCGATCTGCCAATTCGGCCGTGCCCAATTCTTAGACTCCACCAACAGCTCATTATGACATTTAAAAGGCACATCACCCATCCACTTTAGACTACACCTTTTTCTCCCATCCCCATCTATCCTATTCCAGACTGGACCGATTTCTTGTTTCCCTGCACACGGTGCCATGGGTAAGAGAAATTGAAATTGGGGCTATTTCATGGTCTGATCATGCAGATCTCTCTTTAACTGTGACAATCCCTAATATCACTAAACATGGCGTTTAAATCCCCTACTATAAATCGGTGGGCCATTAATACGTCTCCATTCACCCACCCCCGTTCATATATTATTGAAGGCAAATAAGAACGTAATTAGAGTAAAACTTATTAGCCTTGCATCTCACTACAAAAAAGACTGCATCCAACAGTTTACAAACACAAAGATAGAACTCAAGAAACACTTCTCACCTAATTGACTGCACTTCAAACCACACTTAAATCACTGTCCTTTACAGATACAGCAAAAGCTTAGGTCGAAACAGAAAATTTTTCAGAAGAAAACAAAGCAGACTCCCTCTTAGCAAAATTCTTTAAGTGTAAGGCAGATTCCAAGCGAATTACTATGATCTGCACACCTTTTGGTAGGACCACGGACTCTCCAACAGTCATTGAACACACTTTTCAGAGCTACTATACTTCCCTTTACAACCACTCCCCTGTGGGCCAACAGATATCCCGCATTCCCACCCTCCCACAGCCCAATATTTAGCAGACCTGCTCATCTCCTTATCCTTAGAGGGCCACGTGACACCAGCAGCTGAAAAAACACAAGAATAGATAGCTAGAGCATTGGGCTCGCTTAAACCCCATTAAAGCCCAGGCCCAGATGGTTTTAGGACTTTATATTGCAAGACAAGACTTCTATTGTCACATATTTGTGCCGTCTTCAATTCCACCATCCAAGGCATGAAGTTACCTCCTGATATGTTAGTGCCAAACATAACCCTAAATGGAACAAGGACCATGAGGATCCTGGCATCTACTTAATACATTAAAATATTAATAGGTAATAGCTAACCGACTGAACCCTTTGTAACACACACTGATCCACCTTTAAATAATTGCCTTCAAAACTTACCAGATGCGTCCAAGTTAATGGCGTTTGTCTATTTTTGATACCTCCAACTATGTATCCTGGTTTCTCTCTGATAGTTAAACAAGCAGGCACTGTTCCCCTAACCTTCTTTGGAAAAATGTGCACAGAAATACTGATTAAAAGCCTGCAGCATATTTCTATACTATATATAGCATTGATGACACACTCTACACTGATTCAGTTACTTTACATTCCTGAGTGGGAGAGGGATCTAGGGCCACCTGATAAAACGTGATTGGTCAGATGTTTGGGAGGCTATATAGTCTATCACTATTTGCATCAATGACAAACAGCAAGCATATACGATGCACACTTTTTCCACTCATTTACTGCTCCCTCTTCTACTTCCTTCTTTGCCAACTTGTCCGTAGTTCTTCTTGCTTCGTTGCCCCCTCTTTTTATGCCTGTTACCCTGTCTGCTAGAGACCAAAGCTTCTCATGAATCTCACAAGATCGATCAATTATTTAGCTGCAGGTACTATACAGGAAACCTTGGTACCTATTATTGCACATATCTTTGGTCATCCTACCTGAGACTTAGTCTCCTTGCTTGGGAACTTATGCACTAGTTATCTCTACTTGTTCTTGCTTTTTCCCTTCTTTCCTCTACCCGTATAACTGTCATATGTCGGGCGATAACTATATGTTTACTAATGTACAATACTGGATTAGTTTGTTGCCTGCAGCAGGTCTCCCCAACTGCACCACATTATCCAAGGACAGGCAGGTGCCACTTTCTATCCCTGCTATTGATTTCTCACAGTGTAATTGTATTTACAGTTATTTTCTGTATTGTACGCAGTAAATATAAAAGAATTAAAAAAAAATATTTAGTTTGTTCTATCTAATTGTATGGTTACTGTACTGCATATGTTATGAGTGTCACAAACAACATATGCTTGTGAACCTAAAAGCAAAGTTAGGACTATTGAAAAACAGTTAATTGAAAAGAATAACACAAAAGTATGTCTGGACCAAGGGAAATTCCATCAACATGCACTGCCCTGGGTCTATGTACCAACACCACTAAAATATTAAAAATTAAAGAACTCTCAAATGTTTTTCACTCTACATGAATATATTTATGAAGATCAGGTCAGTTTAATATTTTATCCAACATATTAAATGCAATAACACTTTTAACAAGTTTGATAATCTTGAACTAAATCATGTTAAACTGGAATGCCAATAGCTTAAAACAACGGAAAGGCAGACAATGAACATTTCTGTTAATCTTGCTTATTTTTTTGATAATTGGACAAATCTATTTTGTATTGAATGATTCTTAAACGTATGCTTTACAATATTCCTCAACACCAATAGCTTTAATATTTTGTTTTCTTATGAAAATATATAGTATGGCACATTGAAGCTGCTCTTTTATGTCTTCTGTTTCGCCCATAATTTTAGACCTATAAATTAGTAGTCCCTTAATTAATTGGACTAAAGCAGCTGAAACAATTATCTTCTACTTGAAATTTGCAAGGATGTCATTAAAGATATTCAAAAATAAGTGTGCATGATGCTCTTTGAAAATCAAAGTTGGTCTGAAGCGGATAGACTTATCGCCAGATCCTCCTAGCACAACACCTGAAATGACAGAGAAAGAAGGGAGTCAGGGTGAATATTGCAGACAGATATAAAATCAAAGTTAGGACTATTGCAAAACAGGTAATTGAATAGAATAATACAACACTTAAGTGAATAACACTTAAGTGAAAATTCAAAGTGAATTTCAAATTCAGGGTAAAAATAGCTGAAAAATAAACATTCCCTGTCATCTATGCTTTTACTTTGGCATTCAATTTGAAATTTACTTTGATTTTACCAATATTGCATAAAATGGTATAGCTGTAATATTAAACAAAATTATAATTTTTTTACTTAATAGATAATGCACAATTTCTCACTTGGTTTTGAGTGAGTTTAAAATATTCAGTGTGTACAATAATTGAGGTCATCACAACACTTCCCTATGTTTCATAATTATTTAATTTACTTTACATATTCTGGGCTGTGCATGTTACATACAACGCACTCCACCATCCCAGCTATAGACTGCAGCATTATGAATGGGGTTAAAGGACCACTATAGTGCCAGGAAAACATACTTGTTTTCCTGGCACTATAGTGCCCTGAGGGTGCCCCCACCCTCAGGGACCCCCTCCCACCCGGCTCTGGAAGGGGGTAAAAACTTACCTTTTTCCAGCGCTGGGCGGAGAGCTCTCCTCCTCCTCTCCTCCCCGTCGGCTGAATGCGCACGCGCGGCAAGAGCTGCGCGCGCATTCAGCCGGTCGCATAGGAAAGCATTCATAATGCTTTCCTATGGACGCTGGCGTGCTCTCACTGTGAAAATCACGGTGAGAAGCACGCAAGCGCCTCTAGTGGCTGTCAATGAGACAGCCACTAGAGGAAATAGGGGAAGGCTTAACCCATTCATAAACATAGCAGTTTCTCTGAAACTACTATGTTTATGAAAAAATGGGTTAACCCTAGCTGGACCTGGCACCCAGACCACTTCATTAAGCTGAAGTGGTCTGGGTGCCTAGAGTGGTCCTTTAACTATTTTCATCTTAACTGATTGTTGGAATGTTATTATATTTATGCTTTTTGATATTTAATATGTTGGTGAATAAACCCCTAGACTAAGTTTCAAAGTTTTAGCATAGTAAGCTTTTTGGTTGTTTACAAGTTTGGACTTCATACCTTCTTTCCTAAATCCTAGCCCCTTACTGCTGTTTACATTGTCAAAGCAGTACAGTCCTAATTAAACACTGTCCATACTGTTGATCTAGCTAATAACAGCATAAAAGTCCAAACTCCTCACCCAAATTTTACTACCCTCTCTATACATTAAAACCAGGTGTAACTATCTGACTGGATAAAGAGTACAATCACGCCTTGTTAAAGAACACAATATAACCTGTGATATACAATAAAATTATGTGCGTGTGTCATGGTGACCTCTTCCCAGCACTGCAAAGAGATTACAAGACAAACCAGAGATTGCTAAATTACATAGAAGTCCATGGCAAAGAAGTGATCAATTAAAGAGGTCTTCATTTTAACTCCTTAGTAACCAGACCATTTTTCAATTTTCTTACCATTAAGGACCAGGGCTGTTTTTACACTTCTGCTGTGTTTGTGTTTAGCTGTAATTTTCCTCTTACTCATTTACTGTGCCCACACATACACCGTTTTTGTTGTCATTAAATTATCTTTCTAAAGACATCGTTATTTTCATCATATCATATAATTTACTATAAAAAAATATAAAATATAATGAAATTGTTTTTAAAAACATACACTTTTTCTAACTCGGACCCCCAAAATCTGTTACACATTTACAACTGCCAAAAAGCACCCATGCTAAATAGTTGCTAAATGTTGTCTTGAGTTTATAAATACTCAATGTTAACATGTTCTTAGCTTTTTTGGGAAAGTTATATGGCTATAAGTACAAGTAGGACATTGCTGTTTCAATATATATATTTTTAAAATTTATCAATACTGACATTGTAACACTGTTATCTGTCATAAATATCTGAATCACACCTCACATGTACAGATTTTTTTTTTAAAGTAGACAATCCAGGGTGTTCAAAATGGGGTATGTCCAGTCTTTTTTTACTAGCCACTTAGTTACAAACACTGGCCAAACTTAGCATTTATAATTGTTTGTGTGTTAAAAATGCAGTGTTTGTGACTGTAGCTACTAAAAAAGACTGAACATACCCCATTTGCAATACCTTGGGTCGTCTAGTTTTGCAAATGGTATGCCATCATGGGGGTAATTCTCATTTCTGGGCTACCATACACTCTCAAAGGCAACATAACCAATCTGGCAAATTTCAATGTGAAAAAACAGAAAATCAAGCCTTATATTTGACTCTGTAATATTCAAAAACACAATAAAACCTGTACATGGGGGGTGCTGTTATAATCGGGAGACTTCGCTAAAAACAAATATTAGTAACAGTAAAACATATCACAACAATGATATCATCAGTGAAAGTGCAGTTTGTGTGTAAAAAATGCAAAAAACGCCACGTTCACTGACAATATCATCGCTGTGATATGTTTTACTGTTTAAAACACTCACATTTGTGTTCAGCGAAGTCTCCCAAGTATAACAATACCCCTCATGTAAAGGTTTATGGTGTTTTTGGCTTGCCAATTAAATTCTCTGGACTGTCTGCCTGGGTTGTCAGGTAG